TTTATAATTCATCAATGTTGTGTTGTTTGGGAATTTTTTCGCCTCCATCCTGGTAAAGTATTCAACGTGCCGTGACCATCCTGCAGCGTAAACGTGACCGCATAGCTGTATAGGCTGCTGTCACATAGCCACTTCCACACTTTTCTGTTAACCGAAGATGTCAACTTTCAGATAACCCAGACATGTCATCACTGGGGCGATGCCTTGAGCTGGTTTCCAGTGAGAAGATCCTGAAAAGGAAAGGGTGAATGAGTCTCTTGGACTCTTGACTGTAGCAGCTGTCTACCAACAGAGGGCTCCATTCTCTTTCTACTACTCAATTTCACTTAATGTTTGCAAATTAGACAGCAGGTATTGCACGTTACTACGTCTTTCTTCTTAAGTGTTAAAACATATACAATGTTTTAAAATATCCATTTATTTGGAAAGGCCAGTTGCCGTTTATGTTGTATGAACGTTTCAGTTACTGACCATATACTGCTCCTTCTTCTCTGTTTTATGCGCACAGGTTTCAGTCTTTCGAGAATGTGACCCCCTCCCTCAGGAGCAAATGGCAGGTACTCCATCTTGGCTTGTCACCTGAATGACATTATGTTCCCTGTCCATGGTGCTGATTCAGGTGCATCTTGCCTATTTCTGTGCATTGCTATAAGGTCACTTTTATATCACGTCTGCCTCCGCCAAATGAGATGTCATTGGGTGTTTCACGGGAGAACGCTCATCCGCTTTGTCCCAGAAGTCAGCGAATGCGGCCGTGATTTCCGGAGCTAAAGCAGCTTAAAGCAGAACAGGGTTTTCATAAAGCTGGTGCTGGAGCCAGGCAAGGGGCGATATGCCTCTTACAGCCTCTGCGACGGCATAACCATATTGCAGTAAAAAATATCCATCGACACCCCATGGTTTTTATTATGACTGACACAACATGGTTCGGTGCAAACTTAATCCAAAGCTGCAGTTTTTTTCCTGTTATATGCGTGGAGTTGTGGATTAATGCCTTGGCAGCTTGTCTACGAAGTCTGAGGGAAAACTCGCACCACCCTAATTTGTGCAGTGCAATGCAGCAAGAAGGTTTTTTCAGGTGTGGCCAAGGCAAAATTGCTGCATTGTTGTTGGGGAAAGGAAGAGAAACTTTTTATTGTTTTCTCAGGGACACTTGAGACTGACAAATACCGACTAACAATGGTGTATGGAAATAATGAGTATGTTGTATGTCATGTCGTACCTCATCGTACAAGGTCTTGAACAAAATCAATGGCAAATGTAACAAAACCTTTTGCAAATTGTTGCAGCTTTTGGCTCATAAAAACCTGAAAAACCTTTCAAGATCGATTTTTTTGGAAGAAGAGAAGGTGTTTTAAAAACCCTCACGCTTTTCCCAGTGTGTCTCCCTGTCCCTGAGACCCTTAACCTGTGAGGTCAACCAAGGTCACAGGTGAGGTCCTCAGGAACAGGGCTGCATGCGATTGCTTCAACAAATACATATGTTTAAAACCACTGGACACAATCTGATTTGTGATGATCTGATTTTAGCGATGGTTGAGAAATGGTACAACTTTTTATTCACGTTTAAACCCTGTCTGAATCCAAACGTCCAAGAGATTCGACTATTATATACAGGTTTTACACTTATTAAAGTCTGCAACATTGAAATCCATGACAAATATGATTAGTGTTACCATCCTATGCCTTTTCTTCTATTATATAGACTCTCATGGTGTGCAATACACTATGGCAATTGTCTGCAGACATGAATTAATGGTGCTTTAAAGGAGAAGCATTGAAACAGGCCATCCTGTTGCCATGGTCGCCCTAGGGAGCACACCCTACGAGCTGGCTTTGTCTCCTACCCAATGGAATGGTTCAATCAGAAGACAGCTAAGGGTGGTGACCCCGTGGCACAATCATCTACAAAGTGATATTCTCGTTCTAGAGTTATGAACAAATGTAAGTTAAAAATGCACCAGATGTCAATTCAAAGTGGACGATTACATTGGTCAACACAAAGATAAGCCCATATGTGAGGATGTTATGAATATCTCTCTGTGATACTCTCTTTTGGTCAATTGCTCTTAAAGTTGTTGAATACAATTAAAATCTCATTCCAGCCACTGCTGTTTTCTTCATTTGTCCCTCTCGGAATTTCACAACAGAACCCAAGAAGTTGCACTTTGTGCCCTACCAGACAATGTCTTCTAGATATTATCATTAAATTATAATATTATGAGATCCTATACTTAATGATCTATTAATTATGCCATAATAAGTATATGAATAGTATATACTATTAGTAACTCTGTTATGAAATTAAATTATATGGAACATTATGAATCCAAATGGCATTACTAGTAATCCTCAAAACCCAGAATGCCAAAATGAATCTTTCCAGGACTCACCACTGGGTTTAACCTTGGCGGAATTGTCTACAGATATGTAGTTTTGTCCAGCAAAGTTTCACCCTATCGTCAGGAGGTCACTAGTTCGAGTCCAGCCAGTGACAGCCACAGTTACAGGGGTCCAAGAGATCTTAACTGGCTATGCTGCTCCCTGGGTGTGAAGGATGCCCTTGTTTCTCCTAGCTCATAATTAAAAGTATAGTGGCCATCTTCACATGACTTGAGGAAGCATGTGGAGGATCTTGCACTCCCAGCTTGGTAGAACTACAATAGGGGGAGCCCTATCTAATGGGTGGAACCCCCACATAATGTAAAAGTTCTGAAGTTTTCACAGAACTGTATATCCAAACTAAAATCCTTTAGGAAGTTAGGAGCACAGCAAATGAAACTGCATTTCCAAAATTCTAAACAAATAATATATAAATAAAAGATTAAAAAGGAACCTCTGGCTCTTACTGAATCATCCATTTCCCAGGCTACCACTGCCCACCCCCCTCACCCCCTCTTGGTCTCCCATTCGTGGAAAATTTTGCTGAATGTGCAGCTTGGGCCAGAGGCTGCTGCAGTGCTACCTGTCATGCCAGAGTAGCCCCCACTGATGGACGGACGGGTGGAAGGACGGACGAACGTGCTCTCCGTCTGCGCTCCGGCGGGCCCCGCCGCAGGCTCCTGCACACTATTGATTGGCTTGTCTTTGAGGAGACAGATGAATGCATTAGTACCCAAGTCGCTCCCTGCCACTGGAAATATATTAACTTGGCGTATTAGGCACCCTGTCTCGTTTCTATGGCGACGTGCAGAGGGAGAGAGCTGGAGGAGGGGATGGGGGGATACAGGAGGACGATGGGAGGGGGGGAGGTTGGGGGATATGGGATGCGATGAAGCTGTGGGCTCCATCAGTAGTCCTTCTCACTCACTCTTCCTCTCTCTCTCCCACACAGGCACATACTGGTTGGCTTTCCATTGTCTCACAATTTTCCAGTCTATACAGTTCTATACCTTATATTTGTCTCCTATAGAGGGCACCCACATTTACCCCTTTTTTGACTTATTATTACATTGTGTCATTGCTTTTTTTCTTCTACACCATATCAGTGCTTCTTTTGTCTATCATCTTTTTCTTCTATTTCACTCAACTGTGATATTTGTGAAATAAACCCCTGCCTTTTTGACTCTTTGGCATTTTTTTAGTCTCCCCCAGCCAGCCCACAAGTGCAAATACACTGTCCACCTCATTTGCCCACCCCAACCATCCCTCTACCCGTTGCTCTGCAGAAAAGCAGCAAAAAAAGTGGTGCATAGTGGGAGAGGGTTGAGAGACAATGGATTAAAGGGGAGGTTAGTAGAGAAAGGGAGAACGATAAGGACTTGCTTTGCCTAAGTTCAGCCTATCATGGCTTAAGCATAGTACCAGGCCATCCCATCAGGTTATAGACTTTGATCAGCATTACTTGGTTTTAGAATGTCGGATGCCAAAAGCTGGAGTTCAAAAAGTTCAGCATGTTCACTTTTATCCCCTTCTGATGTGCTTTGGCGCCTGTACCGATTTAGACATCCCTAATCAAACGTATATCCTGTAATGCTTTCAGAACACAATGCTCTGCCTCTTGCACCCCATCTAGTGGCAGGGCCCCTAAAAGCCAGTGCACACCACACCCGCTAGTGACAGGGCCCCATTTTCCCTTGGTATTTGTCTTTACGCTCTCCAAGCTGGGACTGACTTCTTTGGCACTGACATTATAACATGTTATTAACACTATTTATAATGCATTATATTAACAATTCGTAATGTATAATAAACATGGTTATAAAGTGTAATTCAGTGTAATTATTTTTTATAAATAGTTATAACCATGTTTATAATGCCTTATGAATACATTATAACATGTTATAAATGTGTAGATGCTTACAAAGGTGACATTCATAGAAAGTGTTACCAAAGTTTCTTTGCATTGTAAAAGCACTCTTCAGATTGCAGAGTGCAGTAGGTTTCAACATAGAACCTTTTTGAAAAAGGTTCTATACAGCACCAAAAGGGTTCTTCTATTGTTATAATGTCAAGTTTGTAACAATAGCAGAACTCTTTTTGGTGCTATATAGAACCATTTTCAAAAAGGTGCTATAAAGAACCATGTACACCACGTTCTCCATTAATCTGAAGAACCATTTTACCAGGCAAAGAATTATTAAATCATGCAAAGGGTTCTTTCAGTGTTCATGGTTCAGAACCTTTGAAGAACCATCATTTTTAAGAGTGTAGGATGTTCTGAATGAAGGTGTTTATCAACTGCGGTTCCCGGGTTCAAGTGTGCAGGGAACATAACAGTACTGATAGGAACTCTGCGGAATGGAATGCAGCTGTGGTTGAGTTTTGACATCACATGCTCTGCAGTTGTGATGTAACGACATTAATACGTTCCAAGAAGTTCAGAAAAGACTCGTGTCCACAAAAAGAGAAACAATGTCTGGATTTCTAACTAGGTTGATACTTGTAGGCTCATTTGTTCACGCAGGTTTAAGTTGCTACCACTGTTTTATAGATTCAGAAGACAGCATGCGACTCTGTTGGGGTCACATTCTCACTGAATACAACATTCGCAATGTAGACTCCTGCTTCAAAATGCTGGACAGGATATTCAACAATAACCAGAAAGTGACTGAAGCAGCGAAAGTGGGTAAGAGGCCCAGTCCTTTCAGTTTTTGGTAGCAAAGGTAAAGTTAAGAACTTTCCTGTGAAGGTGCACTTTCACTCGGCACAGATATAACCTAGTAAGCCCTGAAAATCTCAGGCTTAATACATACTAATGCTTATTACTCAGTAACTACAGGGACTACAATGCAAACTGGCTGAGCTATTCTTAGGTTGAAGAAGTGTGTAATGTGCCTGGCCATTTAACGGGTTAATGAGACATCGTCATCTCCCTGTCTCTGTCTTCACTTCTGTCCCTGCTTGTGCTTATTTGTTTTTCAGGCAGAGGCTATGACTCAGCACTGAAGGAGATCATGATGGCTGAAATCATGCCCATCGTAGAGGAATTTGACCAGACGAAGAATAACGGTACCGTACACCTCGAAACACCTCCTCTTCCATTTCGCTTTACTATTTCACGCTCATTCAAACATGCAGCGGAATTCTGTTGGAAGTGCAGATTCTGACCTTCTGAGCTTTTGTTCAGTGTGGAAGTTGATACCACATTGATCTGAACACATTCATGATCTGAATTTGCATATTTTTGTAATATTTTACCTCAAAACAAACAGAAGATGTTAGAGATGCAGACTTGTCGATACAGACTGTGAATCGCGAATGTGAGTTATAATGTAATCAATGATCAAATAATCAAATATATTGCAAAACACCTCTAATAACCACAAAGTTTTGTTCACCTAACACTGAGTGTTAATAGCATGATTATATTACAGCAATAAAAGAGTATTGCTTTAATCATAATGGATAGCATTAAATCATATTTTGCATGGTAGTAAATATAATTACAACTTGAATAACACAATGATTCTAAAATATGAATACCAAATGAGACTTACTGTGTTACTCAAGTTGTAATTATATTTATTATATATATTTATAATATATATATATATTATTATATGCTAGTATTATTTTAAAGGCAAAAAGAGGATGTGTCTCAGACTCTCTATTCAAGTCATTTCAGCCCCATGGTTAGATGTGAAACTCTCCGTTCTAGAGAAACCTAACAACAGTGGTGGTGATAGGAACTAGGAAGTGTTTAATGCCTCTAAAAGCTCCCACAAGTAATAACTTTGAATGTAAAGCCAGATGCCTGAAACATTGTTTTACATTAGTTTTGAGATATCATTTTGGCCTGAGGCATATTTTTGAAAAGTCTTTCAAAGCAAAGGAAACATGCAGGGTGTTCTAAGATTAAACAGTCCCCAAAAGAAAACAAATCTTTGGATTTACCACTCTTTTACCTTTTTCAAGATTACATATAAAAACTCAAGAAATGTGTTTGGTCATTTTGGATAGTAAATAAAATGGCTATATTGGCTTTGCACACAGTATGACAGCAGTGTAAAGAAAAAAAAAGAAAAAACTGTTTTTCTACAGTTAACCATTTCACATTAAACCATTCTGAATGACTTTTACATCTCAATAACCACATTTGCATGCAGCCTGATAATCTGTTAATAATCCGACTAATAGCTCAATTGGAATAGAATACGTCCATGTAAACAACAGCAACGAGGTGGGTAATCCTGTAAATAGTCTGTTAAATAGAAGAATAATAACCGTGTAAACGCCTGTATCTGATTACATTCCCTATCGGAAAGTTTAAGTCCGTTCTGATCATGTTCGTCACGTCATAGTGAAAGTTTATACTGTTCAGCATGGCGGAGCAGAAACTGGTCTGCAGAGGAGACGAAGTTTATGCTCTGATCTTTAAAAGACGGCGGTGGGACGGACGTCCAGCTTATGTGTCTCTGAACACGACGTCTTCCTCTCGGCCTTCTTTAATAAGTACATGTTAAACAGATGAAAAACACATCTTGTAATAGAGAAAAGTAACTGAATTTCTTACCAAATGTTTGCATTTCTGTGAGACACTTTTCTAAATCAAGCAACTTGTCATCCTTTGATACTTGAGCATGATATTTTAAAGCAATTTTCCTGCATACAGTACATCTATTTGTGAATGTGCGAGGCAGGTCAAAGGGAAATAGTCAATAAATGTGGGTCTTGACTGCAATTGAGATAAATAGCTCTATCCTCCTCCTTTCTACTCATCTCTTTCAGATACGGAGTACGAAGACAGGTTACAGGCAGCTGCAGACAGGTTCATCACAATAGCCTCTGGTCTGCCCAGGGGTGAGTTCCCTTTTCCCCTTTAATTTTTATCCATAGCAGAATCTGCACTGATGAGCCAAAACATTATGACCATTCATAGATGCAAACAATGTTGATAATCCCATAACAACAGTGCATGTAAAGATCAGAGATATATTAAATGGTAAGCAAACAGTCGGCTCTTGGTGTTGACATGTTGGACATGGGAGAAATGTGCCAGCATGAAGACCCGAGCGACTCTGACAAGGGCCAATTTGCTATGGCCAGATAACTGGAATGAAGCATCTCCAAAATGGCAAGGCTTGTGGGGTGCCTTGGGTACCCAATGCCTAATTCGTGGTTTGTCCTTCTTTGGACCACTGTCAGTAGTTACTCACTCCTGCTGACAGTAGTCCAAAGAAGAACAAACCACGAATTAGGCGTTGGGTACACAAGGCTCATAGATGCAATGTCCCCCAAGGAGGGACAACCATGAACTGGGTGTTGGGTGCCCATGGCTCATAGATGCAATGTCCCCCAAGGAGGGACAACCACGAACCGGGTGTTGGGTGACCAAGGCTCATAGATACTATATCCCCTGAGGAGGGACAAACCATGAACCAGGTTTTGGGTGCCCAAGGCTCATACAATGAAGGCTATCCCATCTGGTTCAAACCACCAGAAAGCCTGCTGATCCCTGTCCACCGTCAAAAGAGCCTACAACAGGCATGCGAGCAGGAACTGGACCTTGCAGCAATGGTAGAAGGTCACATGGTCTAAAGAAATCCCATTTTCTTTTCAATTATTTGGACAGCCAGGTACACATGTGCTGTTTACCTGGGAAATGATGGCACCAGGATGCCCTGTGGGAGGTAAACAAGCCAGTGGAGGAAATGTGATGATCTTCTGCAGGGAAACTCTGATGTCCAGGAATTCATGACAGATGCCGACTACTTAAATGTTACACTCTTTCATTGCTATAGGATTCCCTGATGGCCTCTTTTAGCAGGTTAATACGCCCTACCACACTGCACACATTGCTCAAGAATGATTCAAAGAACATGCAAGGAATTTGAGATGTTGCCCTGGCCTCCAAATTCCCCAGATCTCAGTCTGATTGAGCATCTATGGGATGTGCTGAAACAAGTCTAGTCTGTGGTGGCTCCACCTTACAACTTACAGGACTTAAAGGATCTCCTGCTAACATCTTGGAGCCAGATTCCAGAGGGCACCTTCAGAGGTCTTGTACAGTCCATGCCTCAGCAGGTCAGGGGACCAACAGCATGTTAGGCAGATGGTCATAATGTTTTGGCTAACTGGTTTATATTTCTCTGGAACTGCTTCTTTTCTCTCTCATATTCCTCTTACCTGCTTTATCGTACATGCTCCAGATTCGCTAAGCCTCAGACGCCCCTATGGCGAACCTTTTCCGTAGCTTAAGCTCTTTCAAATGAGCGTCATTCTTTCAGCCTTAACTAAAATCATGTTCATGTCGTTCTCTTTAATCCTTGCCCACTCATCTTTTTTTTTCTTCTCTTCTCATCCCATTTTCTCAGCGTCTGGATGTTTTCCCCCCTGCGGTAAGTGTCTCTGCTATCATTCTGCTATGACATAACATCTTCTTATGAACTCTGGCTAACATCCTATAATGCTGCCTTTTTATAAAATTGGTTCTCAACATTTCTGAGCCCTGACGCCACTAAAAAATGTAGGATGAGGGTCGTGACCCACGCCATCTCTCTGTCCCTGAAAAACAAACTTCTACATATTCCTCAACAGATGCGTATTTCATAGTGTTGGAAGATTATCCACTCGTTTACTTACTCATTTTAATATGCATGGGTCAACTTGTTTTTTTTTAGAGCAACTGTTGATTAAGAAATCACCCAGAAATCAGCAGAAGTCAGAGGTCAGAAGCACAACTGATGTTCCAAAATGGTCCTCTGTATACTGTGTGCAATTATACATTTCCACCAGAGAGGGCTCCAAATCCCACAAACTTACATTGTGTAGCTTCAATGTAGAAAACTATCAGTTTATTTTTCGGTGTCCAGTTTATCACATTAGAATCTAAGTTGTGAAAGTTATTATTGAATGACAGTTATTAGTATGAAAAGTGATTCCAAACAAGAACCACTGCTCAACACTATAAAACTGGATGTGTTTTCAAAGGTAATCCTTCCAAATCAATCCCCATTTGTCTCTACACTATGCAGGTTTTCAGGCTCTAGGCGCTGTCTACAATTGCATGTCCTGTCAGTATGACACCTGCGAATTCCCTCTGGATTGTCCTTGTGAGTTTGAAGCTGCTCTTTACACTGTGTGAACATTCAAGACAAATGGACCAAGAGAAATGGTTGAAAAATAATTGCAGCAAAATTAAAATGACATTAAAATGCACGTTACAGAGGAATTCCACCTTTTCTCAAAATTTCTGCATAGTTCAATTTATGTAAGAAAAGTCATTCAGAGTGGTTTGTTGTGAAATGTAAGGGTGTTGCCTATATTCTTTGGGATTTGTCTTTGTTTATTATAGGGGAGTTTTTGGATTGCTGTTGTTTTCTTTTGTTTATTTGACTAGGTAATTTAGTTCTTTGGGGAGAAAAATCTTTTGTTTATTTAACTCCCAAGTGGCAGCGACGCGTTGTGACAAAGCAGCCGCAGGTCATTTATTTTCAATTAAGGCTGGTGATTTCCAGCGATGGGAGGCAGCGAGAACTTTGGCAACGCAAAGTGGGTGGAACAACAAAGTTAAGTGGAGTTTAACTTTATGCAAATAAGGAGCGAAGCAACGTGACAATTACCAATAGGAATCGAGCATTCAGCAGCATAGTACGCGCTTTATCTCCGCCACTGTGAAACAGTACAGTCCGTTTTTAGTTCCTAGATAATTGTTTCTACTAGAGGTTGAATAATGGCAGCGTTGCTTTCCACTGAGACCTCTATTTTGTGGCCTACCTAGACTTGCCATGATATGAAATGAGGTTCTGAACCTGGGACCTCCTTTTCCCTAAGAGAAAGTACCCCTAGATTTCTTCACAGTAATAGAAACCAGGCATTGTGATGTTTACAAGACAAATAGAGCCATTTTATTTAATATCTGAAGGGGAGAAGGGGAAAATAGTCATAAATCTACAGAAAAAAAGAAAAAAAAACTTTTCTTCAGAGACTATTTCGCCTTAGAACACTGTGCATGTATTTCTCTAGATTTAAAAATATGTTTTAGACCAAAATCACATCTCAAAACTATTTCATGTAATAATTTTCTGTGAGGTAACATCTGGTTATGTTCAATTATAGAACAGTGCATTACACATCAAACCACTCTTGATGACTTGGTTTTAGATCTTAACCATTTCATTATGCAGAAATGTTGAAAAAAATGTTAAGTTGATGCTCCATTTGGTCCATTTTTAAAGATTAAAGGCCATTTAAAGGCTAAGTAATGTTTTACCCTTATTCTCATTACTGAAATGTATCCAATATTTATCATTGTTTTCACTTTTTTAATTAGAAAAAAATAGCTTATAACATGTTCAGCTGTTGAATCTCTTTCCTTTCATGCTTTTCTTATAAACTGTAAGAATGTGTAACAAAACAACAAAATACTGTCACATGTAAAAAAAAAAAAGAACCTCAATTGTTTTCAATATGTTACAGTAATGATAAAAGAAAGCAGAATATATAAGTTTTAATAATCGTTGGCCTGACAAACTTTTTAAGCAAGAACCACGAAACTTTGCACGATCATAGAGCCTGTGCCTTTGTGACTGAACGCATGTCCTTTTTGTTTTCGTTCGTTCAAAGGAATTTTGATCCCATAGAATGGCGGAATGTTGAAATGCAAATCCAGCTGCCATGAATCTCTCACACTGCCCCTAGTAAACATTACATACAAGCTGTGTTCCAAAGCCAAGGCTGCAGCTGAGGGAGTGCGGGTCCTCTTTTAGGACTGTCCTATGAAGACTCCTCCTCAGTAGCCTGTTGTCACACAAATAGAACAGTCCTAACGAGGCTGCGTGGTGACGTCACCAGAGTGGCTCGAAACTTTCTTCTCGGAAATGGAGAAAATCCAATGTAGTACGATAAACTGCATATATGTAAATACTTCTAAATAAAAATATATGGATGATATACGATATTTGGGTGCATGCTTTTTTAATCATTAATTTTACACGTTATAAGGTAACAAAGACAAATTCAAGGACGTGAACAACTTACATTTTAAAACAAGCTCTGCTCCAACTGCTTTGTTTTCCGCCATTTCCATGGTGCTGTTTTCTTTTCTCCTCCGCATCGTTCGTGCACTATGGGCAACGAAGGCCTGGAAGGATACATCTGATGTGTCCTTAAAATCACTCCAAACATAGGCTGCATTTCTAGGCTTTATAAGAAGGGTCCTTCACTTTGGAATGGCCTGCTATGACGTAGCGGCCGAGAAATGCAGCCTACCTCGGCTTCAGCCTAGGCTTTGGAACGCAGCTACAGACTCAAACATATACTAGCACACTTATGGCCAACTTGTAGTCTAGGTGACAAGTGTCGCTCGACAAAAAATACTGTGGTCGACAGCAATCGTCAACAATGAAACTGCAGTGAAACCGCAAAGAACAGATAACAGCTGCTACAGTGAAACTGCATTAACAGTAGGATTTCAAGCTGCAGGGTCGATACGGCGACGAGAAATACTACTTGTTGCCAAATTTGCGGTTTTCCCAAAAATGCAAGTTAGTCTAAAAGTGCAGTGTGGGGAGAAATTACGCTGTCAGGAGGTGCATTTTCTGCTTGAATTACTGCTTAAAGTAATCGTAGTCGTGGAAAAACGTTTGAAAATGAAAACAAATCATTATCTAAATGTACATCGACCCTAGTACTGAATAGCTGGCAACCTGCTCTGTTTCTGAAAGCAGCAGAGCAGCATGAAAGTAAACTAAGCCGTACGCGGTGACCACGGCAACAATCCAGAACACAGTTTCTTTCCAATCAGAGTGCACGACAACGTCTGCGCCCTCTTAAATATTTTGATGTATATGACAAGCCCTGCGACACACTAGCAGACGCAAATTGTGTCTGTTTTACGTAATTTTTTGTTGAGCAATGCTGACTATAAATTGGTCTTTACTTACACACATATTAGCAACCACCTGGAATACCACAGCAACAGCCTAGCAACACCTTAGCAACCACCTGGGACAGCATAGCAAGGCTTTGTGAGCCAAATTAAACTTTTTTTCTTCGAGTTAGCTTTAAAATACTTAGTCCAACAACAGTATACAGATTTCTTCAAACCTTACTATGTTGCAGTAATGACAATTTCGTCATGTAAGTTGGAAAATGTTATTAAATACTTAACATCAATTAAATAATTCAGACTTATGTGTAATTATTCAACAAGGCACCATTTCTTGTATGTAAAAAAGAAAACATTAAGTCATTCAAGTTTTGTCATGTTCGCGAAGATAACCCCTCTTATACCGTTACCATGTTGGAGAAATTAGGTTTTGTCACGACAGCGACGACATGTAATACTCTGCCTTATTCTTTGTTGAAACACCAGGCTAGCACATTGTCCTCCACGACTTGATGGAAACATCCTAACGCGAGCTGACAGCGCTGGAACCGCAATTACATAACAGTATATGTGCCTGGCACAAACATCCATTTCTAGCTCCTAAATCCCCGCAATGTTCTTAAGAGCAAGTCAGAGTTTGTTAAACGAATCCCTGGGCTTTGGCACATTTTCATGCATAATATAATTTTGCACAGAAAGCCCCATGGGCAGCCTCTAAGTCCTTGGCTTCTTGATGTGAGGTGGCAGGGCCCCCCTCCCACACACTGTGGTATTCATTTCCAGCCGGCACAGCTACAATTACTGTTCGGTGCATCATCCCTTTTACCACTCTCCCCAGAGGCTCTGCTTAAATATTATAATTACGAGCACGGCAGGCAGACAGCGCTGGCCCTATTCTTCCCTTGAGAGAGGCCTTGTTGCAAGGTGAGGAGTTAAGGAGCCCAGGCTACAGTGTGTGTGTGTTTCTATTAACAGTGCAGGAAATCACCGTGGAGGAAAACAACAGGACTCAGATGTGGTGTGAAGTGCCATTCATTTTGCCAAGTGACGTCCAGATAGCGTGGAGGTATACAGAGGTGAGGAGGAGGAAGAGTATATGAGCCACCGATTCTTGCTGCTAATTAGCGGTGCACATTACTGTCAGAAATAGAAAATAAAGCAGGAAACATATATTCAACAGAGGCCTCCAACACTAAGTATAATATCCAAGATATCAGTTGTGAACTCTTTAATACTTTTTACTTTTGCGCACTCCACAGTCAGGAAAAAGTACTGTGCAGGTACAATTTGAGTCCATGAGGGGTACAACGATGGTTTTAACGCCCATCCGTGTACCTTAAATACGTTTTCCCAGGAGAAAGTTGCATATTTGTACCTTTTCATAACTTAGACAAGACGGGGTGTGTGGAGTTAATAGAACTTAAAAATGTATATTTGCAATGAATTATGGTGCAATTATTTTCCCTAACTAACGGTACTGAAGGCGTATTCTTGGGGGTACCCCCAGTGACAAGAGGGATACCACCCCAGTGACAGGGCCTTTTTCTAAGAGTGTACAAACACTTTAACTCTCCCATCCTTTCAATCTTAAAACGAACAAAAGCCACCAGTAAAGAGTTAATGAGTGCGTTTAAATACTCTTAATAATCCGATAACTGCAGAAAATCAGATTTTGTCAGTAACCCGATCAATGCGTTTATATGCACTTAAGTAATCAGATAATGGGAAAACTCGACATGATTTTACATGAGTCAGGCAGTAGTCAGATTTCTACTTTTCAATCAGCCAATAAACTGACAGAAGAAGACATGACACAAATGTAATGTAAAACTCAAACTTCATGCCGTGGCTTTTTATTAACATCACGCCACTTTACCTGAAAATATGAACATATATCATCTAGAAGATAAAGAATATTTCATTTCATCAAGCATGTAGATGATTTCAGCGTCGCTCCAAAAGTGGTTTGCTGTGTCTCGCAGCAACGCTGCTCGCTTATTTCCGGTACTGCAGTCTGTTTTTGCACATGCACAGACTGAGAAATCTGAAAGAAATCAGAGTAAGAGTTTACATGCACTGAGAAATCTGATCACTGAGCTAAAATCCAACTTTCTTTATTCGGATTATTCCTTAGTCCAATCTAAGAAAGCGGAGTATACTGTTTACATGACCTTTGAATTATCAGATAACTGCAGAAATCCGTTTATGATGTGCATGTAAACACACTCACTGATTTTACTTTCCCCTTCAAAGAGGCACTACCACTCACACAAGCAACTACCAAACTCATAATATGAAGGGTTGGATTTAAAAATGTTATCAAGTGGTTCCACGCAACTAATTTTGTGACTGAGTACTATGTACTTAACCAATTGAGGCAAATCACACTAAAGTAAACTGAGTAAATTCTAATTAACTGGACTGGATATGGTAACTTGCACCTACAGCTAACAACAATGTAGCTAACAGTACATGTCCACTTGCAACTTTGCTTCACTGTATCCAGTTAATTTCAATGGAGACCCGCCTCACGCATGATGGTTTGAGGTGTGGCGAAATCTGCGGGAAAAAAAATGATTTTAGCTTTATGCAAATGAATTCAGCAGCCAATCAGGCAAGAGTAGACCAGTCTATGTCACAAACATAACATTGTCCGAGAGTTCAGAGCGGAAACTATGGCTCTCTTCCTCTTCTCTCAATCCATGACCGTTAAACATAATAATGAAAATATCTGGTTTTATACAGAACTGTTGGCAGTGAGGATTTGGAAGGAAGGCGTTTGACTGAATAAAGTTTCCATGGTTTGAGCAAGAAGGCAAAATTCAAACCATACAGAGCTCGTAGGTTACTTGCTATGGAAACTAACATAACCTTGCTAATGAGATTGAGCACGCTAACTCTCTAGCTTGTGTGGATGACTGATGCATCCTAAAAATTATAAAAGCATAAAAAGCATACGTCTATGTTGTGTGTCATTGCAAGCTTCTGTGCAAATGCAAACAGCACATCAGATTGTTTGCTGCCTCAGATGTGTTCAGTACGGTTCCTTCATTTCCATAAAAAGTGCCCACATGCAGAGAGTGGAGAGATCCAGCGAGGCGGACTGCGGCGAGAAAAAGTGCAAGTGGACACATACTGTAAGCGGTTAACTGTAAAAGATGCACACACAGAGAGAGGAAAGTCAACATGAAGAGGGCGAGTAAAACAAGCTAAACAGTATGCAAATAGATGACAGGAAAGATACTAAGCAAGATCACTTTCACCGAACAGTTATGAATTAAATCTGAAAGTTTGCTTAGTTTTTGAACCAATAATAAATACTCAGTTTGACTGACTTGCATGCATTTGTTAGGTAATTTCAACGATTTATACCCGAGCTTCAAATTTCTTTCTCATGTGCATCTAAAATGGCTGTCATTCTACAAAACCGTTCACTTTTCTATCTATCCGTAGGAGTCACTGGTGTTACTGATCGTCATTGGTGTTACACATAAGAAAGGTAACACCAGAGACATTTTAAATGAAAAATGCATTTTACAAAATGGCTGCTACAGAGCATCAAAGGACATGTTGTCAATCATAGAATATCCACTAAAATATGGAATTTAATCCATTTGTATTCTATTTTTTCACAGTTACCTCAGAATAAAGTTGGTCACACCAGTGACCGACTAAAAGCTTCATATGAAATCATGAGGTAAATGAGAATATTTCTGATAACTGAAAGACACAGTGGACTCACCATGTGCTTTTCTTCATAGATCCTCAGAAAACAGGTAAAAGGATGTCGAGTGACGTCATCAGTGTGATTTTTATTTCAAAATAAGAGATTTTTTGTTACACGATAACACCAGTGACACGACTCCTGGGGACCACAACTTTCATATATTTTATAATCTTTATTTGGCATTTGTTTTCTTTATGTCATTTAATTTATATATTTCACAGTCATGTACAGATTATTGCAGTTAAAGTTGCAGAAAAATGTTTTTTGCCTCAAAATATGACCTCACCCTTCACACATGACTGTGGGGACGAGCACTTCTGTGGTGTTTGGAATTCTATATGACTGATTTAAAAACCAATATTGCTAAATTGAGGCTCAAAAGGTGTAATTGTTAAAATAACGTATTGTTTTATTTTAAAATATAAATAAATTGTGACCCCAATGTGTTTCAAGTGTAATATATCTATCTAGGGACACAAAAATGGACGTTTCTGTAGAATGACCCCTAAAGGAGACATTTCCATGGATCCACTTACACAAAGAAGAGGAAAGCCAAAGAAAACTAAGGGAAAACCAAGTGAACTGGAGAACTGAAAGATATTTCAAAACTGGGGCTCCTAACAACCGTGCAAAACATGGTGGACCACCACAACGGTCACCATCACACTCTTACAAAAAATATTTCTTCAAGGGTTCTTTAGTAAAGAAAATGGTTCTATATAGAACCTTGAACACTCAAAGAACCCTTTGCATGATTGAAGGGTTCATCACATCATCAAATGGTTCTTCATCAAATTGATGTGCTGTAGATGGTTCTATATAAAACCTTTCTGAAAAGGGTTCTATAGAGCACCAAAAAAGGTTCTTATTTTTTTTACAATGTCAAGTTTGTAACAATAGAAGAACTCTTTTTGGTGCTTTATACCATCTACAGCACTCCATTCTCCATCAATCAGGGTTCTTCTATTGTTATGATGTCAAGCTTGTAACAATAGAAGAACCCTTTTTGGTGCTATATAGAGCCCTTTTCAAAAAGTTTCCCTATAGAACCATGTTTGACACATTCTCATTCGATCTGATGAACCACTCCACAATGCACAGAACCTTTTAATCAAGCAAAGGGTTCTTTAAGCATTCATGGCTCTACATAAAACCAATTTTTAACTAAAGAACCCTTGATTAAGCATCTATTTTAATTGTGTAGACAAAAAGATGAAAATTTGCACTACACATTAAAAAAGATGGTTCTTCAAAGGTTCTTTTGTAAAGACAATGGTTCTATTTTGAACCATGAGTTCATTTCTTGCATAATCTCTTCTTTGCATTGCGAAATGGCTCTTCATTGATGGAAGATGTGTTGTATATGATTGTATACAGCACCAGAAAGGGTTCTGCTACTGCTACGATGTCAAGCTTGTAGCAATAAAAGAACACTTTTTGGTGCTATATAGAACCACTTCCAAAAAAAGTTCTACATAGAACCATATACAATAAATTCTCCATCAATCTGAAGAACATTTTCACTACACAAAGAATGATTTATGCATGAAATTGTTCTATATATTACTCATGGTTCTATATAGAACCATTGCCTTTACTAAAGAACCCTTGAAGAAACCTCATCTGAAACGTGGACTTAAAGTTTATGGACTCATGAGTCTGAGTTTGTATTTGATTATTTGAGAATGAGAAAATGCAACCATCTTCTAAGACTGAACTTTGGGGGTATGGAAGAACATCCCTGCAGATTTCTTTGAAAAAAGTAGAAGCTGTGATAAAGGTAAAAGGTGGACAAACTAAATATTGAAATATATCAGCGCTGTCCAAAGAAAACAAGGATCTCCAAAATAGCAACTTTATAGAAGAGGGCAAAATCGTTATTTACTTTTAATGTAAGTTAATGTAAATTACTTTTATTCCCAATTATTTGGGTCTGTTCAGGATGAACTGTTCACACAACGTAAAGGGCAGCTGGTGTGTTTGACTAAAGTGGGAAAATGAAAATCTAAAAAAATGGACAAACAATTTTTTGGGGATGGTGACAACGTACTGTTAGATTTCATTGTTGAGGCTTCTGTGGAATTTTCCATTAAGTATATGTTTTTTTTTTCCTGTGCTGAAATAACTTGGTGGCAGTTTTGACTGGAAATTTTCTGACTTTTTCACAGTACCTGTCTTGCACCTCACAGTGGTTCAGTTTGATTATTTTAAAAGATATTTTGGAATTTTTAACAGTACAGGAATGAAGTATACAATAAAAACATTAGAATAGGGTTTTGAATATAGCCTGAGAATTTTATTTTGAGCGCATACTTTACTGAATATTATTACAATGTATTATAATACATTATAAAATTCCAAAATATAGGTTGATAAATAACAAACCATCAATGAATCCTCAGTTATTAAAAGGCTTTTGCCTCTTCTTTAATTGCTTAGGCTTATATTTATGCCTGGTTTAGTTGTTATATATTTCATGCTATAGTTTTGCAAAAAATCTAATGTGATTTACCCTAAATGTAGTCAATCTGCCAAGTTTAGTGTCCAAAGTTTGCTTCTAATGTAGCTAACAAGTCATATATACAATGTAACATTATCTATAAAAACGGACAAAATATGGACAGAATTTAGGCTTCAAGATGGCCACTACTTTTGTTTTTATTTGTAGAGTTAGAAACAACATAAACAAATCTGTTTAAGATTGTGTAAAAGGACACTCTACCTTGCTAAAAAAAAGAGCACAGACCAGCATAAATTCTGGTCTATGCTGGTTTATGCTGGTCTCTTGCTGGTCTGGTGCTAGTTTAGCTGGTCACCCAGCATGGTCATGCTGGTTGACTAGCATACCAGCATCCAAAACACACCAAATTGTTGCACTGGTTCAGGCGAAGAACCAGGAAATGCCGTTTTTCTGCTCAAGGATCTGTTTTATAATTGAACATAGCAGAAAAGGCCACTGAATAACAGCAATAATAGTGGGAAATGTCACTTCTAGCCATACGACATCCACTGACGATAAACACTAAACCCACAGTAAATAACCCACAGCGGAACGCAAGAAAACACAGCCAACACACCTTAAACTAACAAACAACAACATAAACAACAGCAACAATAATGGTAATAGTCTTCAAATCATAGGTACAATAGAAAGAATGGATTACTCAAATGACAGAAACATCTCATCAGCTGAGAAGAACAAGAAGCTGAATGCTAAAGATATGGTCTTTTCTCTGATTGAAAGGCCAAAAAAATGTGCCTGGCATCCAATTTAAGCTGTTTTCTTATTATTTTGCCCAACAACTGAGATAAGAGTTACAGTACTGCTAGCTTGGTTGTATTTATTAGCCTGTAGCTCAGTGGCTAGGCTAGCACGCTTACTGTAAGCTAAAATGCTAGCTCTGATGTAAGCCAATGTAGGCTACGTTAAATCGGACATGACGCCTCTGACGGTCAGACATGACACCAGACACGATGTCTCAAGTGGTCAGACATGACGTTGGACATGACATCTCAGATGGTTGCAATCAGACGGTCAAGCTAACCCTGAGCTAATGTGCTAGTCTTAAGCATTTTTGAGTAGATTTCATAAACATGATGTCTGAAATGGTCGAAAATGTCATTGGACATGATGTCTCCGCTGGTCAGACAGGACTTCAGACATTACATCAGATGTGGCATCTCAGATGGTTGGATATGACGTCTCAGACGGTTGCACGAACCCCAAGCTAACATGCTAATCACTGGCTAACACTCTAGCCCTGAGCAGTTTTGGGAATAAGAATTGACAATGCAGAAGGAAACTAAACCTTGAGCTGATAGCCAGTTAGCCAGTTAGCCTGTGCTATGCCATTATGGTATTGTCAGCTGTAGTTACAGCTTTCATTGTCCATGTTGAAAACTTGATTTGTAGTCAATCTCATTAAACTAAGACTAAACACCAGAACTAATGTAAATGTAAGTAATCATGCATGTTCCATGATATTAATGCTACTTCTTTTGTTGATGCTCTGTCCCATTTATATGTTGGCTTGTCCCTTCAAAAATGCTCAATTTGAGAGGGAAAATCCATTAAATGAGGGTTTTAACCCATAAATGGTTAATGTCAGCTGTTACATTAAGCTACATTCATATTACAAGCCTCATTTCTCAAATCCGATTTTTTGCTCTAATCCAATCTCTCTGACACGATGGTTCACACTCGTTTAGGTAAGTGACTCAAATCTGTCATTAATGTGAACGAACCGGCGTCCTGAAATGACCCACATGTGCACATCCTACTCAGTAATGTCACGTGAATGAATCACGTGCATCATCAACAAACAAACGAGCAGAACGAGCTTCGCTGAAGATAATTAACTCTGATCAGCTCTCAGCTTCATTATCAGAGCAAGACGAAGGAGAAAAAGGTGAGATGTGTTGCTTTTCCACTGTTTACAGGCTTTAACCTCTGCTCGGTGCTGCTGCCATGGTAACGCTGAATGATGGCACACACACAGTGGAAGAAAAGCACATGAATTCTGATCTGAGCGTTCACATTAAGGTCGCATGGCCACAAAACGGATACGTATCTGATCTAGGACCACATATGAAAGCGGCTCAGGTCAGATTTGAAAAGATCAGATTTGTGTCCACACAGCCCTGAAAACAACAGATCTGAGTCACATTAGGGCAAAAAATCAGATCTGTGCCACTTCAACCTGGTAATGTGAACGTAGCCTTAGTAATGGGCCACTTATGACATGCCAGACTTGGACCAAAAGTACTGAGACAGAACTCAACAAGCATGGAACTGCCACAATATAATTGTGCTATGGCTCTTTTCCTTCAACCGCATTTTTGGGCCACAACTTTCATGCCAGAACTGGTCCTCAAACATTGACACGAGTCAAAGCTAACACAGCTGTCGGGCATCTGGCCCTATTCTGGCCCACATGCCTAACATCTGCCTGGAAGCCAAGCAACACTCGTATATGAAAGCCAGAATCAGCCCAGAACTGTCTAGGATCTGCGTAACAAAACACTGAGGGATGAAAATATGAAAAAAGATATAAAGTCATGAATTCTGTCAAACTGGTGAGGCTGGGGAATATGATGCTGCACCAAAGAATGCTGCATAACATTACAAATGCCCCTTTAACAACTCAACATGGTTGGAGACAAGTATTGCTAACTGGCAAGCATAAGCTTTCCTTACTTGCTAGCTGGGTCATTCTACAAAAACGTCCATTTTTGTGTCCCTAGCATTTACAGATATATTACACTTCAAAAACTTGTTGGGGTTATAATTTATTTATATTTTAAAATAAAACAATACATTATTTTAACAATTACACCTTCTTGAACAGTTAATTTTGCAATATTTGTTTTTACATCAATTATCTAGAATTCCAAGCACCACAGTGCTTGTCCCCACGGTCATGTGTAAAGGGTCACATTTAGAAGAAAAAAACATGTTTTTCTGCAATTTTAACTACAATAATCAACAATCTATGCCAAAAAAATTGTAAAATATATAATGAAAGTTGTCCCCAGGAGTTGTGTCACTGGTGTTACCGCATAACAAAAAAATCTCTTATTTTGAAATAAAAAATCACACTGATGACATCACTTCCTTTTACCTATTTTCTGAGGATCTATGAAGAAAAGCACATGGTGGTCTTTCATTTATCAGACATTTTCTCATTTAGCTCATGATTTCACATGATTTCAAGCTTTTAGCTGAAGTCACTGGTGTGACCTACTTTATTCTTAGGTAATTGTGAAAAAATAGAATACAAATGGATTAAATTCCATATTTTAGTGGATATTCCATGATTGACAACATGTGGTTTGATGCTCTGTAGCTGTTATTTTGTAAAATGCATTTTTCATTAAAAATGTCTCTGGTGTTACCTTTCTTATGTGTAACACCAATGACGATCAGTAACACCAGTGACTCAAATGAATAGAAAAGTGGACGTTTCTGTAGAACGACCCAGCTACATTAGCTGTGTACTTCCAGTGCAAAACTAAAGAAGCAAACTTTGGACACAAAATTAACTATATCTTGAGTAAATTGTGTAAATGTGTTTTTCTTTTTGCTTTAAGCGGTTCAGATAGGCAGCAGAACCTCCCTCATGTACTAACCTGTCATTTAAGGTCAAAACGGTGTTGATGGATAGATTCAAGGAGGTGACGGTTGGTGTGGACAAGCTCTACTCAATACCCTCTGCCCGGCCAGAGCACTCAGGCACGTACCAGTGCGAGATTTTCTCTCAGGAACGCTCCCTGGTCCGCATCTACTATCATCTCTCAGGTACCTCTGCTCCCAGAGCTCCCTCAATGCGTAGTTGACTTGCTTCTATTTAATGTTTATTACAGAAAATTGTTCCGTTAACAAGCAGATGCAGCACAAACTGTGTGAATAAAGAAAATGAAACTGTGTAGGCAGAGTTTTATGCAACAAATTAATTTATGAAGTGCTCTTGCAGACACTCTTAGTGAGTCTATTAATATAAACATCTACTGAGACAATTAGTAGTGCATTTAAAGAGATATCACACTGTGCATTTGCTTTGCACCAGTTATATAACAGCTAACTATTGCCATGAATCCAGAAAAACAACAAGACAGGAATGGGTCATCTTGCAGTTATACAAAATGACCACAGACAGCCAACATTTAAAACAGGGCAGCAATGAAAACATACCAGCAGGGAGCAAAGTGGAATGTGTCAGAAAACGTGTTTGCTAGCTACTAAATTCTTTCATTTCCACTCTGGCAAAGGAGGCAGGCAAGGCTCCTACCACTATTTGTTCAGTCTGTATGCCGAAAGAAGAATGCAAATGATGCAACACTTGAAGGCTCTTATTAGGAAGGTTTAAGAACAGAGTGAAAAAGTGGGAACTCAGTTGAATATGAAGAAGACTAAGGTTAAGACTAAGACCGCTAACTTTACCACTATTGGAGAAGATGCAGAAATGGTGGACAGCTTTTGCCTATTCAGATCAGTTATTAACAGCGAAGGATCCAGCCGTCAAGAAACATTACACAGACGGGCACCAAAGGAGCTTGAAAAGATCTTTAAATGCAACGATTTAGCTCTACAGACAAAGATCAGAGCTGTCCAGGCTGTGGTCAACAAGTGAGACAAAGCGAGAAAAAACGTTTATGCCTTTAAACTTTGATGGTGGAGAAGGCTTTTGAGAGAACTTTGGATGGCAAGGAAAACAAACGAATGCATCCTCGAACAAATCAAGCCTCCCCTCTCACTCAAGCCCATTTTTTGACATATTCTGAGAAGAACCAGTTCACTAGAAAAGACCATTGTGTTTGGAAGAGTTGAGGGTAAAAGAGGAAGAAGACGACCAACAACAACATAACTGGATCCTATCAGAAGAATCATGAACCAGCCGTTCAAAAGCCTGAAGACCCAAACAGAAGACAGGATATTCTGGAGAAATACTATCCATATGGTCACCAGAAGTTGGAAATGACAGTACTTAATAATAAAGTTCTTTACTCTTCATAACTTTTAAAAGTGATGCTGTCAAATTCACAAACCACTTTCAATCCACCCAAAAGCTCATTAATTGCTATTATTACACGTCAGTTTGTGTACTTAATCATGGTTAATTGCATTTGTCTTATTTGGACGAAACACAAAAACTCATAAAAAGTTATGTTTTGCTCTGACCATCATGCATATGCTTGCACCAGAACTGCATTGGTGGCACATTTATATGCGTTTAAGGGGTCATCACCAAATTCGCGGAATGGATTTCAAGCAAGACAGTCGGTTGAAATAATTGCTCTACATGGTTGTATTTTTCATATTTTTCATATTTTCCACATTTTGTGAACTTTTCGATCTTTTCAGAACATTGTTTCATCATTCAGGTAATGTTGACATGCTATGATCTGGCCCTCTGTATACTAATATATAAATGGGTCATTCTACAGAAACATCCGCTTTTTCATTTATCCATAGGAGTCACTACCGATCGTCACTGATCGTTACACATAAGAAAGGTGAAACATGCATTTTACTAAATGGCTGCTACAGAGCATCAAACCACATGTTGTCAATCATGGAATATCCACTAAATTATGTAATTTAATCCATTTGTTTTCTATTTTTTCACAATTACCTCAGAATAAAGTCGGTCACACCAGTGACTTCAACTAAAAGCTTCATATGAAATCATGAGCTAAATGAGAAAATCTCTGATAACTGAAAGACACAGTGGACTCACCATGTGCTTTTCTTCATAGATCCTCAGAAAACAGGTAAAAGGAAGTCAAGTGATGTCATCAGTGTGACTTTTATTTCAAAATGAGAGATTTTTTGTTACGCAGTAACACCAGTGACACGACTCCTGGGGACAACTTTCATTATATATTTAATCATATTTATTTGCCATTTGTTTTCTTTGTCATTTAAATCATATATTTCATAGTCATGTTTAGATTATTGCAGTTAAAATTGCAGAAAATCATGTTTTTACCTCAAAATATGGCTCTTTACACATGACTGTGAGGATGAGCCTTTCTGTGGCGCTTGGAATTCTATATGATTGATTTAAAAAAACAATATTGCTAAATTTATGGCTCAGGAAGATGTAATTGTTAAAATAACGTATTGTTTTATTTTAAAATATAAATAAATTGTAACCCTAACATGTTTTTCAAGTGTAAGATCTGTAAACGCTAAGAATGCAAAAATGGACATTTACATAGGCTCAATTATACTAATATGTAAATCATTTTAACAGCTTTATTTCATGTTGTCTTATATTGTTGTATGTATGATTTATGTTTAATATAATTTTATGAGTGTTTTTTGCTTTTTGTACTTGCTTAGGGACTACAATTGAAAATTGTAACTGGCACATTGTTTCTGTAACTGAATAAACACATAAAGCAGTTTAAGCTCTGGCCAGAAGGGGGTGCTCCCTCACCAAACTGCATTGATGGAAATCGGTGCTCAGTACTACTGTGAGTGACTGCAACTGGCTGTACATTTAATCCACATGATCCCCCCACCCCCTCCACCTCTCTCTCTCTCTCTCTTTGTCCAGTTACTCCTCGTGCAGTAGTGGGCCATGTGAAGCTGCAGGATGTGTTTAACCAGGCTCTCCTGCCTGCTGGTCACTTTCCACTAACGCTGCCCCAACCCCCGTTTGTCCTGCTGCAGCTGCCCAGCCCAGACCTCCTCACAGTCTGTCTGACTTCACTACTCTTGCTTCTCTTCCTCACTCTGGGGTAAGAGCCCCCCTATAACATATCACACAACCACATCCTCACACACTTTAACATGCCTCATCAGTCATACTCTTTACTAGTACACTATATGGACAATATAGTATATGGACAGTATAGTATGTGGACACATGACAATCACACCTATATGAGCTTGCTGGACATCCCATTATGGAGTGTGTCTGTGTGAATTTGTGCCCATTCAGTCAAAAGAGCATTTATGAGGTCAGGCACGTTCCAATTCCTCCCAAAGGTGTTCAGTGGTGTTGAGGCAAAGTCCTTATAGGAAAGATGATCCATTTGATGACCATCTTGACCAGGCTGCTATCTCTTTGGATGGGAAGAGACCTATAAACTAAGAAAAAGAAACCAAAAGCCATGTTAATGTTTCAAAAACAGATTTCAAATTTTATTCATTTTGCATGTTCTCCCCGTGTCTGCGTGGGTTTCCTCCGGGTACTCCAGTTTCCTCCCACAGCCCAAAAACATGCAGTCAGGTCAATTGCACATACTAAGTTGCCCCTAGGTGTGAGTGTGTGTGTGTGTGTGTGAATGTGTATGTCTGTCTGTCTGTCTGCCCTGCAATGGACTGGTGACCTGTCCAGGGTGTATCTTGCCTTCTGCACAGTGACAGCTGGGATAGGCTTCAGCTCCCCACCGTGACCCAGAAGTATAAGTGGTTTGGATGATGTGGGTGTGTGTATGTATGTATGTATGTATGTATATATATATATATATATATATATATATATAATTTATCACATATCACACTCATTTTTCCTGACTTCATCGGTCATGTCACATTTACGCTGCCTAAAATTTCAGCACCCCCAACTTAAAACACCTTCCCCACAATGAAGGAGGGCTTTTCCCTCTTGCAGCTTAACCAGCAAACCGATTGGCTCTTTTTAATGAGGGGTAGGAGTGTTGCCTTATTAGCTTTCCTATTCATTTTCCAACCTATGACCTGTCTCCTCCTTTATAACGTCTCTGTTTGTGGTCAGGGCTCTGTCCGAGGCTCATATCCTTGTTAGTGGCTGAATTCACCATAGTCCAGCACCAAAAGTTTAGCAAGTTGTCTCCAGATGTGTATTCTCATTACAAGATTTGAGACTATCCATTATGATGCTATGACATTTAGGTATAGGTGTAGTAGTAGCATTCAAACCCAGCATGCCTCACACTATTTAGCTCATAGAGTTAGAACTGTTCACTGTGGTTGTGATTGTAACCAGATGTCTTTTAGGGTTTAATGCTTTGAAAAGCTTCCTCACAGAAAGTTTATACATGAAGTGGTTATGAATACGCTGCCTGATGCCTGAGATATTGTTTTATGATAGTTTTGAGTTAAGACTTTTTAAAAATACACCCATGGTGGAAGACACATGGGAAGTGCAGTTGTCCCCAAAGAAAACCCACTTTTTCATTTGTACCACTTTGTAACAACATTGCATACAAAACTCAGAAGACGCATGGAGACTCACTGACATTCCAGTGGCCTACACAGATCCCTGACCTCAACCTCACTGAACACATTCGGGATGAATTGGAACGTCAGTTATGAGCCAGGCATTCTCGCACAGTTTTAGTGCCTAATCTCACAAATGCTGCTTTGACTCAATGAGCAGAAATTCCCCATTTCCGGGAAGAGTGGAAGCTGTTAGAGCCACAAAGTGAGTGTGTGTGGTGGCGGGGGACTGCATGTTATTGCCAGTTGTTTTGGAATGGGATGTCCAACAAGCTCATACAGGTGTGATGGTTAGGTGTCCACATACTTTTGGCCATGTAGTGTATGTAAGATTGAAAATACGTCATACATTCGTCATCATTCATTCAACTTCATAATGGAAGTAGTTGTTCAGTTTAATGGAACACAGATGTTACTTCAAATCTTTGTCCGTCTGCTTCTTCTTAGATTACTGTATTATAAGACCAACAACAAGAAAAACGACAATGAAACTGATCAAGAATGTGAACCTCACAGGAAGAGATATATACTTCACACTACTTGAACGTAACTCCAATAAAATGCTTTGGCAATGAGCAGGCTTCTGCAATATTTTGGGTCTCCTCTAGATGTCACCACAACCACTTGCATGATGTACAGTAGGTTTTGAAGGGTGGCTGGTTATTCTGTGGTCCAGTATAAAACAGGGGTTTGGGAGGGTACTAAAGGTCATACAAATACATTTTCTGGACTACATACTGTTTGTCTTGACACCTTTCTTTCAAATGGGGAGACTTTGTACACATCCACTCTTTTTAAACATGGTCACATACTGACCACAACAGCAGGCTAATGCTCTGAAACATCACTGGAAATGGTGTAACACTTTACTTGAACCTTGCTACATAATATTGATATAATCATGCCATAAATACATCATGGCAGAGGCAGATATGAGTTGTCATGACAGATATTGTGCGACAATATAACAATGTCATGTTATTATTACTGGTAATCATCAGTGGCAGATGTCAGTGAAGCTCTATGGTATGACATGTCACACGATAATATTTAGGCGTCATAATATCTGACATTATGACATGTTGGACTATTAGAGCTAGGCTTTCAATTTAAGCCATAAATCTCAAAATTAGGTCAAAACATGAGGAAAAAACCCTCCTCAACGATAATGCCAACATCTGCTAGCAGCCCTAAGAGATTCTTTTAGATGGTTAGCACTAAGCTAATGGTGATTTGCAATTTTTTGGCAGTTCTAGATTAAACACAGAAATTTGAAGCTTCTAAAGACATTATATGTTTTACATGAAGCTGGTTACAGACATATTAGCATATAGTTTACCCTGTAGTAGTTTCACAGTGATTCTTTCAGTAGTGAGCTACAGTATACAGGGGCAATCGTGGGCTGGAGGGTAGGGCTGCCCACCGCCCTGGGCAAGTGTGCTCATTTCCCATCTAGTGTGTATGTCACTTAATCTAATCTACAGCTGTCGCCGCTGTTTTCCATTTCTAACAAGGCTGCCACTCGTATTTGTAGTCAGTGACGCATCTAGGACTTCTAGAGCGACATTTCTCACTGAATTGGTCCCACCTACTGGAAATCTAAATATAATTGGTTCTTTTGTCACTTTGTAATGTATTTGACCTTTTCTTTAGCTCTTCAAGTCCTAACAAAAAGGAGAGCTTGCTTAGCTATAGTTACCTAGATGCCACAGAGAAAAACTACCCTGATTAGCCGGTTTTCTGCTAAGCATTTAAAGAATTTGAACCTTTTGTTTTCATTCAAAACTCAACAATGAAACAAAAGTGCTGTAATACATGCAGAGTTTAAATACAAAAAATTACAGACATGCATTTTTTAGTTATCAGAAATTATTAGGCCTTCTCTAAAGTCCTAGAGGGATCCCCTTTAGACACCTTAGACAATTAAGGGCAATTCTAACATGACATTGCTGTGTTACTGGACATAATCTGTCATGACAACATTTTTATGGTATGGTTATGTCACTGTCAATATTGTAGCAGTGGTCAGACATAGAAAGCCTTTAACAGTCAAGATGGCAAAGTTTACCAGATCATCTCTTAAAAAATCGTAAGGGGTAATTCCAAATGTTTTATCCATTTTAGGCCAAAAGCTGACCTCAAAACTGTCAAGAAACAATCTCAAGCATCAGACGTCCTTGTAACTATTTAATGTAAGACCTTTCTGTGAGGGAGTTTTTAGAGGCTTTAAACGCTTCAGACATCTGGTTCCATTCACCACTACTGTGAAGAATTCTGGCTCTGTAAGTTTCTCTAGAATGGAGCATTTCACACCAAACCACTCTGAATGACTTTGCTTACATCTTAGCCATTTAATTATGCAGAAATTTTGGTAGAACCTTGATCTCTTTCTGAAGCACCTCAGTAAATAAACCAAAAGAAGCCAATCAAAAATCAGCCAATCTGTGTTTTTAAAATGGACTCATACAATTTTTTTTAATTTTCTGTATAATTAAATAATGAAGATGAAAAGAAACTCATTCAGAGTGGTTTGGTGTGTGTCTGTTCTTAGAGGCAACTTAGACTTACAGGCAAAATTGTTCACAGCAGTGGTGATGGGAACCAGATGTCCGAAGAGCCTCTAAAAGCTCCCTCACAGAAAGTTATTACAGGACATGGTTATAACTACTTGTCTGTGTAACGGTGGAGGCAGGGAGGCAGGATGCAAATGCAAATTGCTTTTATTGAAATTAGAGTTAACAGAGTCCAGAAACTGAGAAGCAGAGGTTTCAAGTCCATGACGAAAACAAAACCTAACTACAAGATGAAAGACAACAAGTTACAGTGCAACATTCACAATGCAAAACAGAGACTGAACAAACACAGGGGTATAAATACACTGAGGGGAAATGAAAAAACACCTGGGACTAATGAGGGGCGGAGCACAGACAGGTGGAGCAGATAAAAAGGCGGCAGGACCAGGGAGGAGACACAGAAAAACAACGAAAGCACATGGTATAAGAAAACAAAAGGCACATGGCTACCATAGAGGGGAAGAAACAGACACTCAGAGGGACAAAGAGGAAATCCATGACAGTCTGATGTCATTTTAAAATGTATTTTTGAAATACACGCATGGTAGAGAGGAACATGCAGAGCATCGTGCAGCATAATAGCCCCCCCCTAAAAAAATCAGTGTTTAACATTAATACAGCAATTGCAAGTAAAATTTGACCAAATTCTACCAGAGTCTACCAAACTACAGTCCCACAGTAAAAAAAATTATTTAAAAAACAATAATCAGACCTTACACATATACAAGCGTCATTTATGATCTATTCAAACCCAGGGCATTCATTGAGATAATAATAAGCTAATTATATACAAAATCATTTATTTTTGGTTTCTTTTAAAGTGATGTTGGAAGATGTATATTAATCATGAGAAAACGTTTTAATTATTTAAAAACACTGTACCACATTTTTCATGTCACTACCGAAACACAGAAAGTTTTTGTCCTTATTTTAGCCACACCCCTGAGTTTTAGAGCAAGAAGTGAGACTACATCCCTGTCCCTCATGACCACATGGTGAGCAGTTAGATCCCATTGTTTTGGTGTAAATGTGTCCCAAAGTCTGACAATCAGTCTGCAACATTAAGAACTGTCCTATCGAAGCACATATTTTCTGCAATTAAGTAAACTTTCTTTGTGTTTTAATAAAAATATTATGGTTTTATGTGTGTACAGCTGTTCAAAGCTGTGTTTGCTAGTCATATACTGGCTGGCATTTTTGCATTACAGTCAAAATTGGCTAAAATTGTCACTACTGAAATACTCAATACTGAAACCTTTAGTAAAGTTTCAAAGCATAATGATTGTTTCGATAGTGACAAAATGGAATGTACAATCGTTTGTTTTAAGAAAATAAACATAATTAGTTCTAAACATAATAAAGGTATAGGGTCACCCAAAGCAAAAGGATTTTAGCCTGAAGTTAAAGTCAGTTAAAAGTCTGAAATTGGTTTTCAACTCTGACTTGGAGCCAGTTCAGTAGAATATTCCATGTACTTCTCCATGTCATCTCCCCCATACACTCAGATTCAGTCAGGTGCAGTTTAGGGGAAGCCCATTTTCTATTCATCCCATTATTATACAAAATTGTAGTGTAAAATGCAAGAAGGCTGTTAACATAACCACATTAATAGCAAGTGACAAACATTTCTTTACAATGGTGGTGGTAGGAACCAGGAGACATAAATATAGCCATTTTATTTACTGTCCAAAACCACCAGTGAACCTACATGTGTCTCCTGAGATTTTATATGTAATGTTGATGATGGCAAAATGGTCAAACAAAGAAAAATATGTTTTCTTTGGGGACTATTTTCCTCATTATGCCCTACATGTACCTCTCTGCCATGATTATATTTAAAAACAAAATGTAGTTATGTTATAACTGAAGTTTGAGGGGAGGAACATGCCTTAAAACCCCTCCTTCTTCCAATCTAACGCCCTATAAATTCACATCCTCACCTTCCGTTCCCCTGACGAAGGGTTTGCAATTCCCACCACCACCCCATCTCTCCCCTGTTCCTCAGTCCTACATCAGTCCTGCTACAGCTATGAGGGGGGTCTGGCCTTCTAGCTACAGTGAGAAGTTGCCCAGAACTCCAGTCCAAGTTCTCCTCCCTCCCTCAATCAGTCTTCCCTCATACTACCACCACCATGTTGAAGGCACTGTCTCAACTCACAGAAGAGCGTTTGAGAGATTTTCTCAAAAAATATTGTAGAACAATGTCTCAGACATGAGGCATCACATTCATCTTCCTGAAATCGTTTTTCCACATAAACACATTTAATATTTTAATATAAAAATCTGTTCTCATGTGCTTGACCTGAAGAAAAAAAAAATCAACATATCGTCATTTGCAAAGCTTTGGGCACCCCTGGACAAATTCTGTGTTGTTGATTTTCTAAGTCAAAAATAGTAGCACATTTTAATGCGCAGTTACTGTTTGCTTACTGAATATAACATAAAACATTAAATTTGGCTCCTTTTTCCAATATTTGGAACTATGCACTAAAAGTTGTGTTCTCCATTGTGGGTTGTGGCATGCGCCCATCCACCGGGCCCCAATGGCGGCTGCGAAAACCAGCAGGAAGGTGGAGCCCGAGCTCCGAGCGGGGAAAAAGCCTGACGAGAATGGCGAGGAGAGCAACACCGTGAGCCCCCTGCTCATTTTACATCCAATAAATAGTTTTACATCCAATCAAGATTTATCTTCTGAGGAAGTCAAGAGCCGTGAGCTGCGCCACACTCATCACCTGCTGCACTGTGTGAGATGAAGGGCCCAAATCTTCAACATCCATCAAAACCATACAGTGGTGAGTTGAATGGTGCTATCATCACCGAAGGAAACAAATCAATTAATTGGCCATTTATAGAAGCTAATAAAGGCTAAATTAATTTCAATTACATGAAGTTATTTGAGTAATAAATGTAGCCATCTGAATGTTCTCCTTGGCATTATCGACTCTTCTGAAGTTTTAAAAGTTTGCTAGCA